TGATTTTAAATAGCTTTGTAAAATGTAAACCTGTGTTTGATTGTGTATGTGTGCTGTTCCTTAATCTGTATTTCTTCTTCTGATATGTCAGCCTTGTCCAAGTTATTCATGCAACTGCATGGAAGGGTAACTAGGAAGGTTCTACCTCTATTCTCCCCAAAAAGTTGTGCCTCAGTTGATTACAGACCTGATTACAATATAGATACTCATCAGTCTATAAGGGGAGAAATTGGCTATCATTGGCCAAACCTATGGAAGGCTGTAGTCTCAATTGCTAGATTATGTAAGAGAAATAAAGATTGTGATTGAATATAACTCTCACCTTCCCTCCCTCCCCCCCAAAAAAAGTTTTGCATTCTTGAAAATCTGTTCTTTTAAACCGGTGATGGGAAACCTTTGGCCCTCCAGATGTTGTGGACTTCATCTCCTTCGATGCTTCTCCAGCGTTACGGTTGTAAGAGCATTATGGGAGATGTAGTCCAAAACATCTGGAGGGCCAAAGGTTCACCAACCCTGTTTTAAACCCATCATCTGCTGCCTGAGACGGGAACCAAAAGCTTGTGAAACAGATTGCCTTGTTTTTTTTTACCATTACTCATAATGTTTTACTTAATTTTACAGTACTACCTTCACATGGATGGCAGAGGGAACTATGAATTCAAGCAGATCACTGATGACACCATTGAATTTGGATCTTAAGTGTCCTCTGCTCATGATTATGAAAAAATACAGAGAAAATCAAATTAACTCATGGAAGAAAAACTTTAAAAAGTTTTTATTCTTTTTTTTTTTTTTAGAGAGAGATTACTGCATAATTCTAAACAATCCGTGTCTAATATAGAATACTGATAACTGTGCATTCATCAACTAAGTTATTAACACTAAGAATACAATGAAATGGCAAATGCGGTGCTTGCCTTTTTGGATCTGGTTAGTGAATCCGAAATCAACTCCTGTGATTTACCTAGCCAGTAGAAGAGGGGTTTATCCGGTTTTCATAAGGTTTGGATATGAAATGTCTCCTCAGTTGTCATAAATTAAGATAAGGTACCAAGGTATTGTGCTACCTTTTTTTTGTTCCTACCTGGCATGGGCTGCCTTTTACAAGAGGACTTTTTTTTTTTTTCTTTTTTTTTTTTTATATTAAAGAAATTCATCTAAGCCTTTGACATGGCGCCCATTATAATGTTATTTAAACATGCGTAGCATAACTTCCTCTTAAATTAATCTCAGGTTAACTTTTTATTTAAAGCCAATACCTGGTAATAAGGAGAAGAAAGAAAAACAAAAAAGATGACAAATGCACTAAATATCAAAAGTTGTGTTTAAATTCCAGTTTAAAGATTATGCGCAAAAATAAATGAATGTTAATTTGAGAAGATATCCGTAATGAGTTGGTCAGCGTGTAATATGTACAACACTATATACATCCCAGGGAATTGTAGCCCTTTAAACTCCACCAAACAGCCATGTGCTGGCTTGTTTTATCATGTTGAATATGCCAGTTGGACTGATTCTGTATATCGTTAATTTTATATTATGTTTGATTTACTCCTCCCAGATACAGATCTCAATGTACTTTCCATGTGATTTTGAATAACCTATTAACTTAATAAATAGTTGGATGAATTTTTACACTGTTAAAAGGAGCGTGCTCCATAAGGTAGTGAACCATTTATTGTAGATATGTCTTCTGCGGCGGGGTGGGCTGAATGGATATATTGTAACATAGAAATGTGCTTCTTGAAAGCATGCACTGAGTATGCAATAAATGGGATCTATATAAATCCTCTTCCATGCTTTGTACGTTTATTTGTTTATTATGTAACTTACTAGAATACTATTTTGTATATCTTGACAAATATCAGATTATTGGCATTCATATCACACAGGTATCATTATTGCCTTTTTGAACCAACTAAACTCTGCAGATGATGGACTGAATCAGTCAATTTGGTGATTCCAACTTTCACATTAAACCCTTCAGCACCAGGATCATTTAAATTAAAAACTTGGCACACTATTTATTTGAAACATAGCTAGCACAATAATGTAGGATAAACCTGTAGCATCATGAATAGATTGTTATCCAGGGATAAGTACAAAATGTACATTCCTCCCCACCCCCCAATTATCACTTCATCCTTTAATGAAATACTGTAAAGATGTTTTCGACAAAGCTGTATTTTAGACAGGATAAAAGGGGCAGTTTCCCATGGCTCAAATCTGCTTTCCCTTTTGATGACACCCACAGCTATTATTTTCCTTTTTTTTTTGTCCGGCTGCTGGGTGCATGATAAAGAGTGTGGATTTGGCTCAAGCTGAAATGTATCTGGCGCATGGTGGTAGGGCAAAATAAGTTATTCAGATTACATCTTGTGGTGATCCTGCATGGAGGTCAACAGTTTACTGCAATACGGGGAAAGAACACACAAACCAGAATGTAAAAAAAAAAAAAAGCCCTTCTGCTTATTTCCCCAAAACAATTTCTGCACAGGATCCGTGAGGCAAAATCCGCAAACACAAACCGTAAAACACACAGGTCCCAACAATACAGGAGGAGAAACATTAAAGGTATATGTTGTAAACCGTGAAAACCAGGAACCAAACGTCACCACTCCTGTCAAATGTGGTTGTACAGGGGTCATTGAGGTACTAATGTTCTGTTACTTGGCTCATATCTGTCACTCTCTATGACTTGGATATCCTGTACAATATAGCAGTCTTAAACTATCCTTATCATGAGTTATGAATTTACATGTCGTGTACATTGTGCTAGCCTTAAAGCTGGTACATGTATAGTTGAAAGTTTTTATCAATTTACATTGTTTTAACCCCCTCCACCCCACTTAAAGGAACACCACTGCCCAAATAAGGAAAAAAAAGTCACTGGGTAGTATATATATGCCCAAAGAAAACATGCATGCATTTAATTATGCATTTTTTTGTTATTGTGCGATACTTAAAAATATAACAAAGACTTCCTGTGGCTGTCCAATCACAGACTTCCAAATGCAGCCTAATGAGACGTTTTTGCAAAGCAGGTGCTCTGGGAAATTTGTCTGCCTCTTGAGTTTATCTCCAGGTTGCAATAGGAACAGTTGCCGGATTAACAGCAAAGGGGTGTAGCAAGGTTAATTGATAAAAGTACCAATTGTAATTGAGAAATATATGTGTGTGTGTGTATGTAGAAAGGCCATTAGGCCTGAATTTGTGGGAGGAGTAAGTCCCCTACTTAAACTCCCAGCCCCTACTCAACGCTGCCGCTCAGCTGATTGTCCTTAGCAACCAGCACTTCCGGTCCAGTTTCCCGCCAGAACTGTACCTGTTTCCAGCAGCCAGACGCCCTGTGCAATCCTCCGTCCGTCCGAGGTCCTTCCACTCTGTTTTTCCCCGGTCGAGGTACCCGACTTCCGGTCACGAGACCGGCGCATTCACGTAAGCAAGGCGTGGGAATTAGCGTTCGCTATTCCCCGCCGTTCGGGCCTAAAAACGTAGGGGTAGGCTCCCTCTTTCGCATTTACACGAATACACGCTTTTCGTTAATATCTCCATTCGCGCCAAAAAACGTTCGGCTCATTTCACTTTCGTTTAAAGCATATTCGTACGGAAACAACCGAATATATATTTAATGTTTTAAGCTCGTTATTATCTGTATTCCCTTTTTTCTGTTCGGTCATTTCAGCACCAACCTATTCATATGGTTAAATTCACGAACACCATCTTACTAATTTACATTCGGTTATTTTTATTCTTTTAAGCTAAGCATGCATAAGTTCTAATCACACAAATCCTACTATTATTTATTCCTTCACATCAGTTTGTGGTTATACTATCTGGTTTAACTACCAGCCTTGTGTTTTCCTACCTTTGATAAACCAATTAACGTATTTTTCTGTAATAAACATACTGTTTTACCATGGTTCATAACTTCATACGTGTCTAAATACAAGCTATACCATTCTTTCCAAAATAACACTCAGATATAAGTCATTTAAACACTACTTACAAGTAATACCCATTACACATAATCCGTACTATTCCTTGCACATAAATCACGCTGTCACATTTTGGCTTTTACAGATTGCATCGGTCTCTTGCTTTTCTGCGTTAAAGTTGTTATTTCAAGGTCCTTTTATTACAGGAACAGGTATGGTATATTATCACCTTGAGTTATCAGGTTTTATCAATTATCTTCATATCTATTGCTAAATATGGAAATTGTCTTGGTTAAACCCTTAGATCCTGTATTAGTCTAAGCTTCCACCGTTTCTACGCAGTTAACCTGCCACGATTAAACAATCTCTGTACTTCAAAACCAAGGTGTAGTTCACTCTCTTTTCAATACTAGACCTCACGCAGTCTCAACTCCATTACTACCTTTCCTCAGGCTTACGCCCAGGATACGTTATCTCTTTACTACTTGTCTACACAGACTTTCGGTCATACGGCCATCAGGCTCAGAAGACACCAAAAACCTGACCTGGTACTCAGCCATACCTTCAGGTACTTACGTCATTACTCAAGTACGTCCATTCGCTACCCCAAGGCCTCATTCTGCCTTCTCACTCATATCTAAAATCATCCCATTCCTACACCTAAACCTCCCAGATCCCTCAATGCAGGATCTCACGTGGCGCCCCTAACAAACCTTCTCCCAATACTATTCATACGACATCACGATACGTATAAACACATCAACATCTGTCTTAAACCCCCAGGATTCTTCCTCAAAGACAGCATTAAGACAAGACTCTCTACATTTATCAGGAGGCTCCAGATACCATTTGCGACCAGTCAAGGTTAGTATCCACACACCACTCCAGTCCTCTAACTTTACCCTTAAGCATACAATCGAACTGGCTATAGGGCACAGGCTAATGCCTTAGCCCACCCTATCAGGAAATCCGATCCCGCGAGGCCTATCACCCCCACCCCACCTCAACACGGAGGTACGGCCCCACGCCCAAATCATAGTTATAAGCCTCGCATGCCTTACTACAGGGCTCTAGTTAGGGCCTCACCTGTCATGGCCACACGTTTTGATTTCTCTTATCGTCACCGAGAGGCCAACATCCCGCCACCACGTCTGTGGCACCTACGTCATAAGCCAAATCATAGGTAGAGCCTCTCACCGCCACTTGGCATTAGCAGGGCCTCACCTATCCAGTCATTCAACAGTTAAGTTTTTCGCCTCGGCATCTAGCATTACAGTCCAGTTTTTCCAGATACATCACTCCCCATACCCCCCCCCTACTTACCTCTCTCCCCTTCTAATATATCTTTCACATAATCATTCCTTTTTTAGAATGTCCCAAGAACCAATTCCAACCGAAGAACTGACAGAAGAAACACCATTCACGCCAATCAGACCCGTGTCTCCAGGCGAATCACTCACTCTTTCAACCCCCACGTCCTTGAGAGCATGGACTATTCCCAAAATCACGGCCGAGCTTAGGCTCAGGGGAATCCCCTTTCCGGCCACAGCTAGAAAGGCAGAACTTTACAGGCTGCTTACCCACCAAGTCCCCGAGCCTAGGCCGGGAACTAGCTCTCAAGGACAACCACCAAGAAACAGCACGGCCACCCAGGATACCCTGGCAGATATCTTGGCCAATCTACAGACCCTCAATAGCAGGCTGTCTAAGGTGGAGAGCGCCATCTCCTCCTCAGGTACTAACACCGTAGTCCCAGTCTCTACCACGGCTGTACCTGCCATACCTACATGTCCCTCTGTACTCCCCCCTCCAGCACCTGGCACAGCCATCACACCATTCGAGTCACCGGCACACTCCGTCCCAGACTCTATCAGGAAAGATATCCTAGACGGGAAGGATGTGTGTCTGGTGTCTTTACTCATAGCCTCTCAGGATATACTCGAGAACAAGGCATACAATTATGGTGACATTTCAGTTGTGCTCGAAACGAGGGATCCCAGGCTCAATAAAAAATTGTCTATCCCACAGTTTGTGATAGCTTTTGGGATATACCGCGACGTCATTTGCACGGTGTATCCCCATAGGAGAGAAGAGCTAGATCTCTATCTCCGCAAGGTACTGGATCTAGGCATCAAGTACGGGGGCTCTTCCTTCTATGACTACCACAAGTCAGTTTCGGCGAAGGTGGCGACCCATCTCAAGCAGTTCAACATTAGAATGAACTGGGGTCAGATGGACATGGAACTTTTCTGTCGCCACTTCGCTGGACTCAGGCCCCCGGCTTGTGCCATCTGTAATTCTACATCCCACATGGCGGACTTATGTCCCGTCGAACCAGATCCCACCACCTCCACTCCCACCCCTCACCCCACGTTCACACCTCACTCCTCTTTCACCCCTCACAACAAGCCAGCGGGTGGTCTCCGGGATAAGCTGGGTAGGCCCATCTCCTTTTTAGGTAAAGCACAGGTGTGCAATAATTTCAACGCAGGCTCCTGCAGTTTCAGCGCCTGTAGATTATTGCACATCTGCTCCATATGTTTCAGGGCACATACCAAGACCATGTGTCCAGCCAGGTTGTCACCAAACAAATGACTAACCGACATAAATATCGACAACCTGGTTTTTTATCTAAGGTCTCACCCCAGCAGGCACTTGGTGGATTTTCTCACCACAGGTTTCTCACAAGGGTTTCACACAGGCATAGTAGCCATTCCCCCAGGTACACTAGAATGTCCTAATCTCCAGTCTGCACGTTTAGACCCAGTCGCTGTAGACACTCTCATTTCCGCAGAAACCACCAACGGTTTCATGATCGGTCCTTTCACCTCTTCACCGTTTTCCTCCTGGCGCACTAACCCTATGGGTATTGCTATTCACAAATATTCTAATAAAAAACGTCTTATCGATTTATCGGCACCGCACTCCTCTTTTGTTCCAAGCATAAACGCACTCATTCCAGCAGACGAATTCTCACTGCAGTACGTCACCATCGACGACGCCATACAGTCCATCACGACATCTGGTAATCGACCCTGGCTCAGCAAAACAGACATCACTAACGCATTTAAATTACTGCCCATACACCCCTCACTCTGGCACTTACACGGTGTTAAATGGCGAGGGAATTATTACTTCTCAACACGACTCACTTTCGGTTCTCGAAGCAGCCCCAAACTTTTCGACATTTTCGCAGAGTCACTATGCTGGCTGCTTCTGAATGTCATCAGGTGTCACTCCGTTATTCACTATCTAGACGACTTTCTACTGATAGAGCCAGGGTCATCAACACCCACAGCAATCAATAGTACTACCGCACTTTTTTCCACACTTGGAGTCCCTTTGTCCCCAGCCAAAACTATAGGACCCACAACAAAGTTGACCTTTTTAGGCATAGAGCTCGATTCTGTCAAACTCAGAGCTAGCCTTCCCCACGACAAACTTTCACGATTGAGAGGGGAGATAGACACGTTCCTGCGGAATGACGTTTGCACCAGAAGAGAACTTCAGTCCGTTCTTGGATGTCTGAACTTCGCCATGCGCATCATTCCGCAGGGAAGGTCTTTCATTTCCAGACTTCTTTGCCTGCTCCACGGAGTCCCGGACTCCGGCACAGTTTCTTTGGACCCCCACGCCAAGGCTGACTTAGCTATGTGGGGGAAGTTTTTGAAAGACTGGAATGGTATCTCCATGTTTATCCCCCCTCTCTCCACCTCTTCACCCATGATCCACACAGACGCAGCAGCCAACACCGGTTTCGCAGCCATTTTCAGGAACCACTGGTTTAGGGGCCACTGGCCCACTGAGACGGATGCCTTGCCAGGATTCAGGGAGACCTCAGCCCTATTTGAAATTTACCCCATTGTGGCGGCCGCACACACCTGGGGTCATCTCTGGTCCGGCAAGGCAGTAAAATGCTACTCAGATAACTCGGCAGCTTGCGATATCATTAACAAAGGGCGCTCGTCATCCCTGACTATCATGCGGCTGATTCGCAAGTTGACCTGGCTGGCAGCATCCAATCAGTTTCACTTAGTATGTTCTCACATCCCGGGTATTCACAACACCGCCGCTGACGCTCTTTCTCGTTCTCGATTCCAGGCATTTTCTCAGGCACTCCCAGCGGCTCACCAACAGCCATCCAGGACACCACGGTTTCACGAACTAATATTGGATTAAGCACACTCTTGCTTCACGCTAGATCACTCACTCAACAAGCATTATCACCCAACACTGCTATCACTTACAATAGGGCACTTAACATATTTAACAAATTCACTGCAGAATTCGGGCTACAAGGTGACTTTTCTATCAAAACCATGGTGTCTTTTGCCTCTTTCTGCCACCTACACCTTAATCTGTCACACAACACCATTAAACTTTACCTCACCGGGGTTCAGCACCACAGCCTCACCAATTTTCCTAACAGCACTCCTTTTTTGTCTTCATACCCCATTAAAAAGGTCTTGAAAGGTATATCAAAGGTTTCACCACCACTCGCAAACACTAGATTACCCATAGACGGGCCTATATTCAGGTCACTTAGCAATCTCCTTGACACAGCCCCATTTGATAGCTACACCAATACGGTGATCAAATCTGCCATATATCTCGCTTTCTATGGTTTTCTCAGACCTAGAGAGTTCACCGTGGTTTGTCAAGGAGATATCGCACTATGCCTTAAAACTTCACACCTCACCAAGGTAGAGGATCACTACCTACTTTCTATCCCTACCACTAAAACCAACCGGTCTATACACCCTACAATAATTCCTCTCTTCCCTACTGATAATGCCTGGTGTCCGGTGAAAGTTCTCGACCAACTCCGGTCAACTCTTCACACTCACCTGCCAGACTCTCCGCTCTTAACATTACAAGGGCACCCGCTTACCACGGCAAAATTGATGTTACATGTCAGAACCCTGTTATCTAAGCTCGGACACAACCCGGCTGCATTCTCCGGGCACTCCTTCCGCATAGGAGCCGCCTCAGCAGCCTCTAGCACAAACGCACCGGTCCACATCATCAAAGTTGACATAATCTGGAGCAATATAATCACTTATGACAGGTACCCAAAGCTGCCTTGTGAGGGAATTGCTTCATTTAGCTAAACTCTTTAACGCCGTTACGGCATTCTATGCTGTCCCGCATTAAATGAGCTTTAAAGCCGTTGCGGCGGCATAGAACGCCATAACGGCTTTCACCCCCAGGAGCTCGGCGGTACTCTCCTCTGCCTCGATCCTCTTCGGGAGGACTGCCTGACAGCCCAGGCAGCCCTCCCCCAGCAAATCAGGCTCCCGGGGCCATGTGATCGCTCTCAAAGAGCGATTACATTTATTATATTTTTTAAAAATGTAAATAAATTATATATACATATGTAATCTCATTCTAACTGTATTTTGTTATGAATACATATATTGGTAACAAAATACACTTAGAATGACATTCTATATATATCAATCTATGTATAAAATACAAATAACTGTAAATATATATAGATAAATATAATTACATAAATAACTACATAAGTGTACACATAGTATTTAAATACATATATATGTATATATACATAAAAATTCTACATGTATGCTTAAGTAATATTTTAACATAATTATGTGATTTAATTAATTAAAATTTGATTGACGTGCCTGACAGCCCAGGCAGCAAGTCCAGAGAATTAAATTTGCATGCGCTATATTTAACCCTGTAACTTTCCAAGACACCATAAAACCTGTACATGGGGGGTACTGTTTTACTCGGGAGACTTCGCTGAACACAAATATTAGTGTTTCAAAATGATAAATTGTATTACAACGATGATATATTTAGTAAAAGTGAAGGTTTTTGCATTTTTCACACACGAATGGCACTTTTACTGACGATATTATTGTTGTAATATGTTTTACTGTTTTGTTCAGTGAAGCCTCCCAAGTATAACAGTACCCCCTATGTACAGGTTTTATGGTGTTTTGGAACGTTAGTCAAATATAAGGCTTGCATTTCATTTTTTTCACATTGAAATTTGCCAGGTTGGTTACATTGCATTTGAGACCGTATGGTAGCCCAGGAATGAGAGTTACCCCCATGATGGCATACCATTTGAAAAAGTAGACAACCCAAGGTATTGCGAATGGGGTATGTCCAGTCATTTTTAGTAGCCACTTAGTCAAAAACACTGGTCAAATATGAGTTGTTTTGCTTTTTTCACACCAAAACAAATATGAACGCTAACTTTGACCAGTGTTTGTGACTAAGTGGCTACTATAAAAGACTGGACATACCCCACTTGCAATACCTTA